TATAAATATATATATATATATATATATATATATATATTCAGGTATATCCTGAACAAGTTGTCTTATCTTTAACAAACGATCCTGCCTGTTGCTCATCTCATTCCCTTTACCTTATTTCGTTATTCCCTATAGGGAATCTTTGTATATATACAAAGATATAGATGCTCCAGCATGTTATACCCAACATTTCATTTTTGTCTTTTTTTATAATATTCGGCTTATTTACGTTGAGTACATAAGGCTTAACCAAATCAGAGAAATAACAGCCGAGTAAATGCGTTTATATATATAACTTAAAGCTAAGAATGATATCTAGAGCCATTTTTAGGGATACAGACCCAACATAGACAAAACTAGATACTTTTCGACCTGTCTCGGTAATCCCATTAACCTCGAACTATAAGAATTTTTGGTTACATGTTTCACTAACGAAAATCTTTAAATCCAATAGAAAATATATTTAACACAAATATTATGTTCAAAAACCATTTTTTTTTTTTTTTTCCCAATCTGTGTACAATAGGAAGGTATACCTTGAAATATCTACTCAATTTTCCACTTTCTCTTTTATTGTCATTTTTTTTTTTTTTGTATTTTTAAATTCTTAATTATCAAGACAATACCAAATGCTTTAATTTAAAGAAAATTAAATTTTTCTATTTCTATACTAAATGACTGGTATGTTTTAGGTAAATATATTCATTTTATTATAGGCACACTGATAAAAAAATTAACTTGACTCAAGAGCCAAACGCTTGAACCAAGAATACCATTTTGAAAAAAATGATTTTATTGAGTCATTATTTTTGAGGAATTATTTTTGATCTAAGAAAATTTTCTTGAGTCAAGAATTTATTCTCTTGACTCAAGAAAACGATTTTCTTAAAAATAGAATTCTTGGTTCAAGAGTTTGGCTCTTGAGTCAAGTCAATTATTTTATCAGTGCAGTACCGTCGACATTGCAGCAATAAAATTTCAAATTCGCAGCTTCTTTTGATTTATCTATACAACGGGTTGCATTTAAAAAAGAGTCAGAGATGGTTTTTAATAATTTTTTATTAATTACTACTGTCACATCCTCTGAAACTGTACTTTTAATTATGCGAAATATTTATTATATTATTTCCTTTGATTAAATTAACTTCTATTGAAATTTGAACGGTACTTTTTGAAAAATAAAACAAAAATCATGATTTCTAATAAGACTCAATGTTGAGTATAGAAAATCAGTTCTGATATATGAAGAATTATTTGTTTCCGTAAAAATGAATAGAAAACGTGAATATGTTTACTATAAAAAATAATAAATTAGTGTAAATAATCAATATCTTAACAAGCTTGTATACTTATAGATTAATAATTAACTACAAGGATAAGTTTATCTTAACTATTCAAGTGTTAGTAAACATAAAAAAGTTTTAAAACAGTTATCATCCTGTAAAGATAACTCCAAAAAACATACATACATACATACAATAAACATATATAAATATAATACACGAGTGTTAGCAATATTCTAGTATCAGGTGAAAATGAATAGGAACAACGATAAAGGTTCTTAAAAAAAAACGTAAAAGACAAAAAAAAAAAAAAAAAAAAGTAAAGACAAGCTGAGATTTATTCAAGTCCCGTGCCAACGAAGTTGACAAGAGTCGAGCCGCGTAAACACCCTCGCTCTTTGTTCTTCTCTGGTGCTAAACAAAGATAAACTATTCGTACATACATATACGTACATACGTATCCACTCTACTCTATCGGCTCAGAGCGTAACAAGTGAGAGAACTCACCAAAAATACTCATCCGAGACGAAGAAGCAAACTGAAACAAGAAAACCGCATCATTTTATGATATTTTCTTGTTTGGGGCGGAGCTTGGGGCGTGTCCAATATAAGACACGCCTTTTTTGTTTCCATAGCCAATCGCCTTATTGCAAATTCTCTCTTAGGAGTCAATTTTGTTTGCTTTCTTGTTCTGTGATTGGTTGTCGTAATTTTAGTCCCGCCCAATGGTCAAAAAGTGGGGTAAATTAGTTAATAGTAAGACCGTAAGAGGGACTGGTTGTTTCAGTTGATTTTGAGCCTTAGAGTGGATACCGATGAAGTGGTGTGAGTGTAAGCGAGTCAGTCGAAGACTGGAGAGCCCTGTGAGAGCAGGGGACGGACTACTCTCTTATTAAATAAATAATTGTTTTTTTTTTTTTTTTCATTTAGATTTTTAATATTTTCGCGTGTGCTAGTGCTGCATTATTATATTTTTTATTTTATTGCAACAAAATCATCAATTTCTTTAATATAATCCTCATTGTTATTACTATTACCGGTATTAATAGTTGTTGTTATTGTTGTTGTTGTTGTTGTTATTGTTGTTATTGTTATTGTTGTTATTATTGTTGTAGTTTTTGTTTATATAATAACACGTGGCCAATAAACAAAAGAACAAAGTGTTTTACAATGAAGCAAAAGTTTAAATACCACTGCCTGAATTTGGAGTAAAAGTAATAAATACAAAAGCTAAACACACATATGTTTGTTTATTTTTTTTTTTTTTAATTTTTTTAATTTTTTATTTCAATCATTAATTCACATATTAATTGATGATAGTAACCAAAAGAAAAAAAAAAAAACAGTGAATTAACTTTAAATGTGTGCTACAGTGGGTGCTCGTGTTAAATTTCTGTGATTATAAATATATAAGCAAAACTGTAAAATAATTTCGTTTGTAATGTCAGCGTACGCGCAATTCGGATACTCTTATCCGTCGGCATCTCAGGTAAAATTGTTTAAACTATTTACCAGTAACCTCAATAATTATTTTAACCAGTTGAATAAAATAATAAGTAAACTTTTATGTGATTATAATTTTAAATTGAGCAAGTAATTGGTATAAGAGACAGGTTTTTATTCTACTTGATTTAAAACGTGCACCTGCCAATTTATTTTTAGTTTTTTAGTTTCCTGATGGCTTTTTATCGGTTATTATTTTGTGATAAAACCGTTAGTTTGTTAGTTGACTTTTTTGTTATTGATAAACACTTGTTTTTTTTTTTTTTTTTTTTGTCAGAAATTAAATTAATTAATTTGTTTGTTATTGTTTTTTTTGGAGCGACGGCCGTCGCATATGCGATTATTAAAATTTTTACTGGTATAATTTTTATTATGGTTAATAATAAAATAATATAACGATACCAATCGATTGTATACATAAAATATATAAATACATACATATATTATTAACAGCATAAATATGTATTGAGGTTTATTTAATATTAATTGTATAAATTCTGTTGAAACTGTCATGTATAGATACACCTGTCGCAAAATTGAATATTTTGTGCGTTAAGTTTTAAAAATAATTATCTCAACATTTTATTTCAACGGCTAACTGTCATCTTATTATAATTGCATAAACTCCATTAATTACCTTAGTACCAGTTCAATTTAAATAACTAAATTTAAGTATTTAATTGTATAGTTTATTATTTATTAAATTAATCTCCTTATGCTGTGAATAATGTATTAAATGAAAATTTATTTGACAATATCAATAATCGTTTCGGTTAATTTTTTTTCAATCTATTAAAAATATTGATTCAATTTCAAACAATTAGATCATATTTTATTTGTTCCAACTCCAAACTCTAATACGTAGATATAATTGAAAACCATAATTATAAAAGCTAATAATTTACTTAAATATTATTTACTATCGGAAAAAAAAAATGCCTAAGATAATTCTTTTATTTAATTTTCGAGTTATTTATTTATAATAATCAAATAATCATCAATTCAATAATTTGTTATAATTAACCACGATAAGTATAGTAAAAATAATTAACTCTATTCTATTTCTATTCATTCGAAAATCATTGTAAATCTCATTTTAAATCAAGTAATTAATGTAAAAATCGGCTACATTTAAAAATTTTTTAATGGGTTTTAACGTGGTTAAAAAAAAATAGAATGAATGGCTAATAATAATAATAATAATAATAATAATAATAATAATAATAATAATATAATAATAAAGAGTTTCGGCTTTACTAAAAAATACAACTTAATTAATAAAAAATATATAATAAACGTACATACAATATGAAAGGACCAAAATAAATTTCTATTGTTATTCCCTCTCCGAGTGACACTAAAACAATATTTTTACCTCGATAAAAAAAAAAAAAAAATCACAATATCACACAATTATACATTATTAAAACTCACTTACTCTAACTTGTTATTAATTTAATTTAAAATCAGATCATTATCAACGCTATGTAAAAAAAAAACTTTCTCTCAATTACAAACGAGCCATTATTAAGCTCTACAATAATTATTGACAATTTATTAAAAAAGAATTTTTTTTTTTACATATTTTGAAAAGCCCGGCGTTAATAATGTTTTGTTCGTTTCCATTTGAAGAGCAGGCGCGAGCGCAGACGTACAAAGTACTTAATATATATGTATATTAGAATATAAGTTTGAGTATACGGATATGAGGATCTAACTTTCTATATAATCTATCTGAATGAGATTGTGCCACTCATGACTGAAGCATATAAAGAGGGGCCCAAGGGTTCACCAGGGGGTATTATATCCAAGTACAGAGAGTAAGATAAAAGTTTTATACGTATAGGTGAAAATATTTATTCTTACAATGTAGATGTGTCAGTGTGATTCGTGTTTCCCGCATACCAATGACAACACAATTGGTAAACATATGTAACATATGAATAATAACATGGTAATATATGCTCACACTGGCGTTTACAATTATGGATCATTTTTATTTTTACTACTTTTGACATTATTCAAAATAATAATAATAATAATAATAATAATAATAATAATCTATGCTCTATAATTACGAATTATTTGTCTTTTATTATAATTAAAATGAGTAATACTAAAATATACACACATAATCCTTTTTTTTTTTATAAATATATATTTTTCACCATCAATTCAAGACCGACGGAATAATCTGATATCCTTGATTACCTTGTACATACATTTACTGATATCTTGGATAATAATCAGTGTTAATTTTATAATTAAATTTAATAAAACATGAGGTTTTTACATACTGATTTATTTACAAACCTTTTTATACCACTTAAACATATTTCAATTAATCACTATTATTACAAACAAATATTTAAATATATAATGTACAAGTAATATACTACTTATATTAGATTAAAAATTCGGATTTATTAAAAAAAACTTTGATATACACGTGATAGCGTTATAAAAACAATTTATTCAAGTTTTTTATTTGTTAATTAACCAGAAATTAAATATCGTAATTATTATCTAATTTCTATATATAATATTATTCTAGAAGATCAAAGGGTAGACCTTTTTGGAGGAATAAAATAAAAAAGAATTACAGACGGAAAACGAAAAATTTAATTATTTATTATCGATTATTGATTATTGATATTTTAAAGGAGAGCCAATTATATAAAAAATTTTGTAAAGATTGACACTTGTTGCATAGTTAAATACATTTTATCGATAAGCTTTAAAATATAAATAAATAAATAAATAAAGTAAACTAAAGTATGTACTAAGTATGCGGGTTACAAGTTGATATACCAAGCAAGTTATTATAATAACTAACTACAAATAGTATATGTATTATATACAAGTAAATAATCATACTACCAGTAGTGACTAGTTGCTTATTACCAGTCACTGGATAAATTTTCTCTACGTTTGTTCTTACGCTGTATCGACACAACCGTAGTCCAGCCGCTGTACATCAACAAAAACCGGTTATATTACTCTTATTCTGGAATTGCACATCAGGTGCAACGGTTAACTTTGTACACGCTATACAAATATAAATATATATTTTATTTTTGACTAATTATTATTATTTAAGAAATTCAAACTCTCGCCCCAAATACAATATATTAGTGATAAATTTATAAAGAGAATTATCATAATAATAATAATAATAATAATATTTTAATGGATATATATATATCCAGATTGGTCGTTTATATTTTTTATTATCTGTCGTAACTATAAAAGTTAGCATCTGGTTCGCCAGTTTCACGGGTTGTTTTATGCTTATAACAATTCTCGACTCATTGAAAATATAATCCTTAGTTTAACTAAAATAAAAACTTATTATTTGTTTTATATCGGTTTACAGTGAAAAAAAAAAAAAAAAAAAAAAAAAAAAAAATACTCAAGTACTTGATTATTTTATTTAAAAATAACGATAGATTGTATTGAATTGAATTGCTGCAGTTGCTAGTAAGCGGAGGACAGCCAACAACAGCTACATCCCCGGCAGTATCGTCTGGAGGAGCTTTGAGTCCTAGCGCACTATCACCATCATCAAATGCCCGGACAACGAGTAGCGCAGTACCCGGTGGATCTGGAGGCGCTGAAACCCCAGTTGGGAGCTCCACCGGTGCTGGATGTTGTGAAAATGGAAGACCGATGATGACCGATCCGGTTACCGGACAAACTGTATGTTCGTGTCAGTACGACAGTGCAGCGCGTCTGGCCCTTGGGGCTTATCCAAGACTGGGCCCTCCAGCCACCTCTTATTCGACGTACCCTACACCAACACCCTCGGCGACTGATCAGGGACCCTATCCCAGTATTGGAATGGACAGTTCTGCTTTCTACTCACCTCTTGTAAGTTTAATCTAATTTATTATTATTATTATTATTATTATTTTTTTTTTTTTTAGATACATTTATGTTATTTATGCGATTATAAAGAAATACTAAAAATAATTATTATTATTAATAATAACAAGTCTATTATATACATCGGTGATAACAAAATAAAAGTCGCTCGTTTTGAGTGACCGTAAATAAAACTAAAACTTTGAATCTAATCATTTAATTAAGACTAATCATATAAACTCGTATGTTTGTACACGATATGAGTATAAATAAACGATAAAATATTAAATGTTATAATGTTAATTTTATTGTATGTGTTTAATAGTTTTCATTTATTAGCAATTAAACTATGTAAGAATCACTGTTAGTAACATCCATTAATGTTTATTTGCTTTAATATTTATTTTGTTTTAATAGTTCAAGGTTTAGATTTTTTTCGTTTATTTATTCTACACATATAGCGGTTAAAGTTTATTTTTTCGATTTTATATATATGAGAGAAATATTTTATCGTTTTTAAAATCTAACCAATAAAATATTAATACATATAGAATAATTATTCTTTATGAATAAATAAAACAAAATTGTTTGTATAAATTAGTTGAAATAATAAAACACATAATTGTGAAAATAAAATAACATAAATTATAATAGCTTTTAAGGAGCACGTGCTATTGATGTGTATTTGGTAGAAAATAAAAGTTTAGAATGAGGAGGAGGAGGAAACAGAGAAAAATAATAATAATAATAATAATAATAATAATAATAATCATATTAAGGGGTGTGTGTACATATGTATATAAGTATAAGGATATGTATGGTGAAGGACTCTTGGTATGAAGTAGAATAGAGTGTAGAGTCTCCTTGAGATCCTGTAGACTGTAGCCTGTAGAAATCTTTCTGTGTATGTACACAAGTATAGTAGTGGAGCGTTATAAGAAGGTAATAAGACCCGGATTAGCATTGAATGAAATAGGCGGCGTGGCGCGACGTGGCGACAATAAGGGCAATAAGCATCAGCATCAGTCGAGTTTAAGCTCCATGAGTAGTATATAGTATAGAGTCCTCGTTTCCCTATGCTGAATTATATTCTCAAGCGTTCAGGGTGGTCCTACTAATAATAATGTTCATCTAAGGATATCTATATATATTATAATAATAATTAAGTTTATTAGTTTAATTTTTATGTGTATATATAAATAGATATTTTATTATTATTATTATTATTATTATTATTATTATTATTATTATTATTATTATTATTAATATTATTATCTGTTTAATCTGTATAATCAGTTGGCTTTAGAATCAAAAATAAAGCTTGCAGGCGACATGTTGAGCTTCGTAGTAACCTTCGACTTAATACTTTTTACATTTATGTAAAATGTAAAATATACGCATAAAAGTATTTATGTATTTTTGTATTTGCCAGCGTCCAAGAGGTATAAGCAAATCCAAGACTACGGCTTCATCGTCTAATTGCATCTTATCTCAAGTATTTTATTCGATTAGACGCTATCCGCTATTATATACCCTTATTTATACGATTATAGTTAACATATACATTTATATGTTCATAGTTCTGCTCTCTATATAGTAAAAAAAAAAAAAAAAAAAAAAGATTGATTATTATTTCTAACTAATATGGTTTATTAAGTATTTAGGTATATTTTTCAAAAAAATGAACTAAATAATTTTAAAATACATTGAAAGAGTGCTCGTAGAAAGTCGGTAGGATTTTTATCTGAATATATTTTAACAATGCACGTGACTTTGAAGATTTTAAATCTCAATATAGTACTATACTACTGTTGAAAAAGGTATTCCTTAAGGTTGAGTGATGTAAAGTTGACCAGTTGACCATCAACTGAGCCAAGTAGAAAGACCGATACGAGTAGATCCAAGTAGATTCAAGTGAGTAGAGTAGTATTATAATTTAAGACGTCGTGACGACAGCGTTTAAGTCCTGGCGTCCTGGCGTCCTGGCGACCACCCGCGGGCCCGACGTCGTAAAAAGGCGCCGAGGTTCCTTCAACTAATCCTTGGAGGTCCTCATGCGTATATGATTGTTAGATGCGGTCATATGACCTACACATTTTTTCTACATTCTTACCAATGAATCACACTCAACATATTACATAAATTTATTATTTTTTAAATTATATTACTAGACAATGTATTTGGAAAAAAGAAAAAACTTATAATACTTATTTAATAAAAGTAAATCAAGTCGATTCAAGAGCAATAACCAGATTCATTGCTCTAAATAAAGGAATTAAGAAACACATATAATAAGAATTAGATCCAGACGTGTAATATGAAACTTCTTGGCGCCAACCTTTTTCTTTTTTTCTTATTTTCATTTATATTTATGTTATTATTTTTTTTTTTTTTCATTTATCACTTTATTTTATTTTTAAATATTGTATTGTTTGAATCCCAAGCCCTCTCATTAGGTAGTTACTAAATATTCATAATATACTATTAAGGGGTTAATTAATTTTCCGTGTAAAATTATCCACAATATTTACGTTTCTTCTTTTCCGGCAGCTGAAATTATTAATTAATCTTTTGTAAGACGTGTAAATAATGATAATAATAATAATAATAATAATAATAATAATAATAGCAATGATAAATGTGTATTGCAACAGGGAAATCCTTATGGACTAAAGGATGCAACGGGGATGGGAATGACGGCGGATATGGGCGCAGCCTGGGGCACGGCGGCATTACAACCCGCCGCGACTGGATACTACCCCTATGATCCAACGTTAGCTGCTTATGGGTATGTTTATAATTATTATTCCAATTATCAACTATTATTAAACTAATTAATTTTCATATTATTATAAATTAAATAAATTTTATCTTATTTATTGGGTATATAATCTGCACGTTAACTTGAATATAATTAATTAGGAAAAGGGCATTTATTATAAATTATAAATATACCTATTATTTATATTTGTAATAAATTTTCAAGTGTGTCTTTTAAGGGTTGAAATAAAAAAATATACCAGTAAATATAACAATATTTGGGCGGTTAAACTGGAATTTAGTTATAGACCCTCGTAACAAGATTTACCGTATCGAAACTTTTATTTGACATCTATTGTATTATATTTTTTATCCCTTCAACAACTTATTGTTTTGTCGTTTTTATCTGTTTATTTTTAAACTTTAAACAATTACAGTACAGGTGCTAAATAATCTTAACCAAGTTAATCAATAATTAATTCATACCAACTCGAGCTATAACAAGTCAAACAAAAAACTACTCTCGAGTTTATCTCACTCTCAATAAACTTGAGGACCAAAAAAACTAAACCTCTATAGTTATTTCAGTGATAAAACTTTATCCAATTAATAATTAATCTCTAAATTACCAACCTTTTTTGTTCTAATAACAATGAACAGATCAAAATGTTATATCAAGTATACAGTATGAATAAATAAACAAGTAGGACCGAAAATTAAATTATTTTGTTATAAGTTATAAATAAATAAACAACAATATAATATTTAATATGTTAGAAATTTATTTTATTAGTCATACATAATATTTTTATGTTAATATATCTAGTCATTGAATTGTTATGATTAAAACAGAGAACATATATCTATTATTATTATTATTATTATTACTATTATTGTTATTGTTATTAAGTACAAGTACAGAGAAAAAATAAAAAGTGTATGAGTATAGTTTATTGATTGACTTGCTCTGGTATCGGATCTCGGGTTTCACTGGTTCACCGGTTCACCGCTCCCGCTTTTGATTTGTCCCTGTCTGTTTTCTGTTTTCTGTTTTATATTTTATATTTTATATTTTCCTTTTCTACTTTGGCATCTCTGGCTCTTTATTCATGTATTCACTTTCATACAGAGATGTTACACAGGAGTAGTACATGACTGTTATATATTACATAAGATGACATCTGTATTGTAAGGAATAAAATTATTAAGAGACTAAAAAGGAAGCAGAAAAGTGTTTCATCTTTGGTAATTTCTTTATTTCTACACCTTCATCCATCATCATATACAATATTATCCATGAGACTATTGTTATTATAAAAAGCACACTCACGCCCATATACCCTTAGATATATGAAAGAGTAGCGTCCCACAGGTGCTTTGCCGGTTTGCGCAATATAGACCAACAGCAAAATAGGCGGCATTCGCTTGGCAACCCCTTACAGTTTATACAGTTTATACATTTTATATATATATATATATATATATATATATATATATATTGCTTGTTAACTTATATATTGTGTGGGTAGTTTACTACTATCCTATCCTGGATGCCTCAGTTTCCATCTTCCATCTCTCAGTACCACCACGGCTTACACTTGTATCGTTTGTATCTTCTCTGTGTACGTTTTGTGTCTGTAGATTGTAGTAGAAAAGCCAGAGGGTAGGGTAACAGAGAGTAAACAGAGAGATAAATAGGGGATGAATAAGCTGTGCGAGAGAAAGAGAAAGAGTATGGGAGGACGAGTCTCATCTCTACTGGTGCATGGGCATTGTTTATCGCTGAATCCACCCTCGACTCAGCTCTCAACTCGTTGAGCAGAGGCTCTTCACACCGAGTCTACTCCACAAGCCGCTATTAATTTACTTGCTTAATAATACCTAGGCCTCGAACCTCGAACCTCAAATCCTTCAAACCAGCCTATATGCCTTCGTTGTTTTCTCTTCATTCATGTTATTGCTCATCTTTTAGTCGTTCATTCGCCATCAAGCACTCGCTGCTATCGTCACATGTTGTACTCATCTATTTTAGTTTCGTTATAAAAATAACAAAGTTATTAAAATTATTTTATAAAAATGCAATTTTACTTAAAATATAATAAAAAAATTCATCCAAAGTATATGCTGATGTCAAAAATAATAATAATAACAGCACCCGCATCAACATATATACGCACTTAATTTAGTTTGTTATTTAATGCCGTTGAAACGTAAGTTTAATACATTATACATGCATGATAAAAGGTTTTATAGAGGAATAAAAATCCCCGGAATTCGTTCTTTTCATATACATATATACATATATATTGGGTTTGTGCCTCATCCCTAGCTTGGTTGCCCCCAGCATCACCTTTTTACTTTTTTCCACTACTTTAGCTCCGACCGTGAAAAGCTCTCACGCCTGCTCCAATACTCTGTTTTTTTTTTTTTTTATTTCCTCTTATTTTGCCTGGCAAATGTAAATCTTGTTAATCCCACTCCTGATATTTATTCCAGAATTATTATTAATATAGCACAACAGCCATTGCATCATTTCTTATTAGTCTTTGGATTTATCAATTGAGCTTTGTTCTGGTTATACTTTTATAGAAATTGTGTTATAAATATAATAAGACTGATTGTTGATTGTTTATAATATGCAGTAATGATTACAAAATATAATTATTAATTAATAATTAATAATTACGTATACTACCAATATTGCGGTTGACTTTTTGAGATTGACATGACCACGCAGCTGTAATGAGACCATTCAAGTGGCCGATATTTACAGTCAAGTATACCGATATAAACATCCGCCAGCAAATGCCCTCTTACTCTATTACTGCTGTTATCCTTTTTTAAAACCCGAGCCAGTAACCAGCAACCAGCTTCTATATTGCTATTACCAAGTACCATAATAATACAAATGATCGCTGGCAAGTGAGTCCTTCAGTTCAGTCTCTATTTATTTCGATAAATTATCTTTTTTTCCCCATTAATAATGCACCCACTGTATTAATAAAGGTATATTTAAGATAAATATAATAATTTAATACATATGAAATAACTATATAAAAATCTAACTGTGGTGAATAATTAAAAAAAAAAAAACATTTTTATTTAATATGGCATCAGTTAATCAATGAATAGTAAAAAAATATTATTATAAATAATGAAACAAAACTGGGAATTTATTGATAGCGTGGGGTAGTATTTAAGGTATAAAAAATTTGTTGGTTAAGAGGCAAAAAGTATGCGGTTCATTAAGTTTTTGCCCAAGTTCTCGGATAATCCGCAGATTGTACTGTTGTACTCCCTCATTTCTCGTTTGAGAACACGTAATGGCGTCGATCGATTTCCCGCTTCCCGCTTCTCGCTTCTCACTTCTCGCTTCTCGCTTACTGCTTGCCGTTCTTCTCGTTTAAGGCACCAGGTTGTAATGCCAGCCTCTGTTTCTGGCTCTAGTCCGGCTGGCTTTTTCCCTTCTCCAAGTAACCTCTCAAGTTTCCAGAGATCTCCCTCCGACGGGCCTCCCATCTCCCATTATATACCATTTCTCCTCCTTATCCTTATCTTTATCCTATGGTGTACTGGCTGAGGCTCTGTGAGGGACTCATCTGAGAGACTCTGGAAGGCTCTGAGGCCGAGTTTTAGAGCAAGCGGTTTTATTGGAAAGGAGCTCACCGCCTTTCCCTTGTCGACGCCGTTTAATAGAGGGTGAAACCACCTTTTTTTTTTCTTTGGTTGATTCTCTCTCTGACAAGTGGGTTTTTTTTTTTTTTTTTTTTTTTTTTTTTTCTATTTCATCGGTTCGGAAACTTTTTCCAAAGATTGCTTGCCCTATCAAACAAACAAATCGGTGAACGACTCTGAGTTTCGTCAATCTAACTTTATTCATTTAATCCGTAAAATAATTATTTTAAATAAGTCATCATCTTACCATCTTATCATCACCGTTATTATATCTGCCATTTAATTATTTAACAGATATTAAATAACAAGTAGGATATATAGACCAGAATGTATGATAATTGATAACTTAGTAAAACGAAAGCAAAGCCGTGTCTTCTCCAATAGAGGCTTTTGATTTTTTTATACAACAACTATTTCATATAATTCAGAAGCAATTTGATAATTTATTGCTAATATATATATATTATCTTTTTTCAATTGGTCTATCATCTTTAATAAAACAAAAAAAATAAACTTTATGACCCTTATGGTTTTGATGCTGATCCGTTATATTGCGTATTCGCGGTATTCGGTGGATCAGTTTTTAGTTAGTAGTTAGGTTGAGCTGTCAATTTGAGGCTCTGATATTCCCTGATAATAACTAGTAGCCAGTATATGTATATAGATAATATATAAAAGTGACGGTATATTTGGTTTACTTATCCAGTGGGCACTTGGTATTGCATTGTATTTTGTATTGTATTATTTTATATCGTATCGAGTCATGTCGTGTTGTGTTGTGTGTATAACAGCTATATAATGCCGCGGTGGTGAGATGGGGATCGATTGAATCGCCATTACCGTTCTCACTAAAATATATCCGAGAAAGACAGATCTGGGGTGTACCCTGTTGATGGTATATATATATATATATATATATATATATATAACCGAGAAAGACCGAGGTTGGTTGGTAACCATCAGGGAATAGCTATTGCCACTACACGCAGTGCAATAGAGAGTATAGATAATATATCTATATGTATATTGGAAAGTGGTAGGGTTTATATGTATACTGGAGTATACGGGTCTACTCGATAGAATCACAGCGACAACGCGTTACGTTGATGCGAGGGTGGTTTATTCTGGCGTATACATTTGCTGTTACCCCATAGACGATAGAGAGTATAGGATATATAGGATGACGCCTGTACTGGTTTAGGGATGAGAAAAGAGAAAAGAGAAAGAAGGAACGAGAAATGAGGGAAGAAAGCTTTATAGAAGCCCAGCAGTGTTTGAGTGTTGAATGTTTGAATGTTTCAGTGTATATGCTAGCTAGGTCTGTGTATTAGATTCTACTAGGAGGGCGTGTTTTCCGTATCGTTATACTGTTATAGTGTTATAGGTGTTATACATAACACGTAGACATAGCTAGGTGCTTATATCATCCAATAGCCAACAGCCAACAGCCACTATATTTTCTCTTTCTCTTTCTGGATGTCGTATACTTGCTCTCGCATAAAAAATCGCTATGTCTTTCTCAGCAGCTACTTTGTTAAATCCCTAGGGAATCCAAAATCTGAAAAAGCCAACAGCCCGAGAGAATTTCAATCCTGTGGGATAAATCATCCTCCAAACGAAAGTCACTTTCCAAATTGTGTCAGTCAATAATACTCTCTATTAAGTATATGCGTACAGTGTAGGGAGTATTTTATAGATTTATATATTTCATATATTATAGGGGATTAAGGGAGTGAGTTTAACTAACGTTATATATATATATAATACATATATTGGGTTAGATTGTTGTTCTGCTGTCACACGTTAAATCTCTTCAACCTCTTAAAATAATGTATAAAATATAAAAAACAAACAAAAAAAAATTATACTTTAATAAATTAATTTGTTTTACAGATACGGAGCTGGATATGATTTAGCGGCACGTCGGAAAAATGCGACGAGAGAATCTACGGCGACGCTAAAAGCTTGGTTAAATGAACATAAAAAAAATCCGTATCCGACTAAAGGCGAAAAGATTATGCTGGCAATAATCACCAAGATGACTTTAACTCAGGTGTCGACGTGGTTTGCTAATGCAAGGAGAAGGCTCAAAAAAGAAAATAAAATGACGTGGGAGCCCAAGAACAAAACTGACGATGACGACGACGCGATACTTACTGACTCTGAAGATAATAAAGACAAGGATGATATGGCCAGTGATCACCGAAGTGATCGCGTTGGAGATGATTCACAACGCAGTCTAGATGACAATGGTATTTATTATACATAATTATTTTAACTAAAAAAAAAAATTTTTTTTTCAATTAAAAAAAAAAAATAGTGTGGCTCGCGGTGGTCGACATAATGGTCATCCATGTGGGTAAACACAGTGACGGGTTACGGGTTACGGGTTGTGGGTTGTGGGTTCCCGAGGAAAAGATTAATGGCCTTTCTGCTCAATTCGCGATCCCTTCTCTTATACCGTCTAGCCCTTATAGTCTTATAATGTCACACACAAATAATAAACTTTACACTCTATTTCTATAACCAATAGTTAGTTATAAAGGATTTAATAATTAAAAACAAAATAATAATTATTAAAAATAAATTGATGATGGTAATGATAATGGTTTATAAAGGTCAAAAGTTAAAGAGCCACTTGTGGGAGTATCTGTTTAGTTGAGCCATAAGGTTCACTTTTATACTAGGGGTGAACTACGAGAAAGAATATAGATATACAGATATATAGATATTAGGACCCTATTCCACAAACTCTTTAGGACTCTCTCTTTAGGTCCTTAAATATTTAGCGAAAGGGCATGTGAAAATGAATTCAACTAAGTGAGACAGAATTAAATAGAAAGAGAGAAAGAGAGAAAGAGAGAAAGAGAGAAAGAAAATTTTCGCTTGGGGAATTATCGGTTGACGAGCCATCAACTAAACAAGAGGGTTGGAACCTCTTAATGAAATTCTCACCCCTCACCCTGACTGCTGCATGGCAGCAGGCCCAGACAGAAAGGGACGCTCGGAGATTCTACTGAGAGACTACCGACACCTACTATACACTATATAAACCTAACTCTCTTTTATTTTGCTACTATTTAATTTGATACGAGAGTATATCAGTGTATCAGGGTACAGTGATGCTGTGCATGAGTGAAGAAAGCACCGTTAAAAGCTGCTGAGAAATAAGAGAGAAAGAAAAGAAAAAGCTGTGATATCCAGACATTAACAAAAAGAAAAAAAAAAAAAAAGGTAGGGGAAGGGGAAGGTGAAGGGGTGTATATAAAGCTTCGCCCTTGGGGATCTCAAATCTCTCGTCCCCAAAGTGGTTGCAGGCTTCGCTCCCTGGTTTTTTCACAGCATCCCTTACGGCTTAACTCATCTCAATAACTGGGTGTTGGGTAAAAGTAAAAGTAAAAGTAAAAGTAAAAGTAAAAAGGTCTAAGTGAGAAAGAAAATTTCTTGGTTCTTTTTTGCACTTGCTATTTTTCACTCTGTCGATTTATATCATCAGTTGAGTTTCTTGGTGGGTCTTTTATTCACTAGTATCATCACTGGTATATATCCCGCAATGACACGCATCACAACGACGCTTTCACACCAGGGACTATCAACCATTAACGGCAATATTGCTGCCATTCAGTTGAGCAGTACTATTAATAGTATTAATAGTATTAGTGTAGAGTGTCAAGAGTAAAATGTAGTAGAGAAGAGAAGCTGAGCACACTTAGACCCTCGCCAATAATTAACGAGCCTGGGGATATATATAATATGTATATATATCTTTGGCTTATCGTCTTGCCCCTCAATTAAGTCTCATCTTCTAAATTTTTTAAAGCTATATCAGTACCAAAGTCAACAAGTCGATCCCACTTTTACCCCTCGGTTCCATTAATCAAAATTTAACTATCATTTTTTAATAATAATAATTTTTGACTTGTTATAGAACCAATTCGGCACGTAAAAGCTGAACATATGCACCACGATAAAGATCTCGAGGATGATGATGACTTGGACTTGGAAGAGGATCCTAGACGCAGTGACATGGGATATCACCACATGCCTCACCATCCTCACCACCACCATCATCATCACCACCATCACCAAGGCTACGGAGAGGAGCACCATTTAAAGGAGGAAGGAAAACCTGATTGTCAAGCGGGTGTGCCAATTCCCGCGACAAAGCCCAAAATTTGGTCTCTCGCGGACACAGCGGCCTGTAAAACTCCACCTCCTAGCCATTCCCACGCGCATCAGCATCACCATCACCATCAGCAGCAGCAGCAGCAGCAACAGTACCTACACCATCATCACTATGGTCTCCAGCAGCAGCAACAGCAGCACCATCAGCAACTTCATCATCAAAATCTTCACCTAAACCAGCACCAAAACCAACCCTGGCAATTGGGATCGACAAATCCGAGCACAGACAACTCGGGAGGAGGTCTCAGTTCATTTGCGCTTCCCTCGTCAGCGACCTCAATGAGTCCCTCTGGTACCGGTCCAACTCCTTACTCAAATGTCTCGAGGTATGGTGGATTTCTTGGTTCCGCTAACCAACTCCACTACAGTTGCAATTCAAATCCAAATCCTAATCCAAACCCAAATTTAAATTCCTCTGCCACCTCTTCAGCTTCATCCAGCACGGCGGTGGGGTTTCCCGAAGTTGGTACGGACACACCACCTCAAACCCCCCCGAACATGAAGGTGGCAACACCCAATGGTGTGATCCAAGCAGCTCCAGCTCCAACGTATTGCCCTGGTGGCATCATCACAACCGCCCTTCCTAGTAGTAATAATAATAATAATAATAATAATAATAATAATAATAATAATAATAATAACAACAACAACAACAACAACAACAATACCACTACCAATAATAATAATAATAATAATAATAATAATAATAATAATAATAATAATAATAATAATAATAATAATAACAATAGTAACAATAATCCTACGTCAACAAATCATTATTCTGGCGTGACAAACGGAATTCTCTCGGCCAGTACTGGATATCTTTCCTCAAGTTCGGTATCCTCCGTCAGTAGCAATTCTTCATCATTTGGATCGAGACTCCAGAGTCCTCACAAAGAATTCGGAAATCAGAATGGTCTACATCAGCAGGCCACCGCAGAAGCTGCAACCGCATTCAAACCCTTTTACAAAGAGTAAGTTTTAATCAACTCTATTTTTTCTTTAATTGACAATTAAGTTGAGACACTGATTATTTGTAAATTTACCCTTACTTTAAGCTTTATTTATTCTAGATCACAATCTATGGCTAGTGGATTCGTATCGCCAGTTTAAAAATTAACACCTTCAATCTTAAATGGTTAATTTGGGGGATTGGATTCTCTCGGTAAGCTTATACTTTCATTTAATCACTACTTTTTAAGTCTTCCCATATTTATATTATTCCAATTCTTTATATTTTATTTTTATTGTGAATGACAAGTCACCTTATAGTCTACAAAAGCAGTGATTTTTTTTTAAATATATAATATTTGTATCCTAACCCTTTAAGGTCGAAAGATCCAAGTTATCGTCGCGTGAAAAAAAACTACATAAATAATAAATAAAAATAATATATCTGATGTGATTTAAGTTAATAGAGAGTTAGTGATGCATTAGTTTATTCTGAGCGAAGGAATGAATGGGATTAGAGGGAGTTTTAAACTTTTATAAATTACAGAATAGAAATGGTAATAGGTGGCGAGAATAAAAAAGAAAAACGAATGAGGGAATGGGTATGAAAAAAAAAAAAAAAACTCGTAAAGGCTCGTTTCGAGACATCTTGCCCAAAGACCGAAGAGACCGAACAGCGAAGACCGGGTGTTAGCTGGATGTCCTTATCTCGGCAATCTGATCCTAATTTATAGTCACGTCTCGAATAAACTAGTTTTCGCTGTCGTCACCTCAGACGATCGAGAACGTCGTCTTAGTTTGCCGGTCCCCAATCCCAGATCCCAGATCCCAAGTTCCAGGTCCAAGCTTCCCCAAGCCTCGGTTGGCTCTCTTCAGTTTCTGGCACCTTTTTTTTTGTAATGAGAAATTTTCGCCACTCTCACCAACAACCACCAGACTCGAAAATTATTATGCTGGCACACATATAAACCATTTTAAAATAATCCGGATTTTTTACCTAACCACATTCTCGTACCCGGACGTTTATTGGAATTTATTTTTCCAACTTGATGAATATTATATTGCTCGGTGTTAATTAATGGTATTTAAAGTGACTGAGGGTATAACAGGAAAAAAAAAAAAAAAAAAAAAAACTTAAATAATAGACTAGTGATTGTAATTGGCAATTAGTAAGGGAATATTTAATTGGCATTGTGGACTAACTGGACGAGCTCGGGAGTATTGCGGGGGTTTTACAAGCTATACGTTTCATACTGGTTCAATACAATTAAATGCCCACAATATCATAGTTTTTTGTTTATCTGTACTTTTTTTATTTTTTTATTCTATATCCCATAGTAGTTCTATCAGTTGCAAAAATATTTTTTTATTTTTTATCCTTTCTACATCATATTACGTCTCTCGTAGTATATTTCCAATTACTACAACTATTGTTGGGTATTTATTTTTTTTTCTTTCCCAATACACAAAATTTTTGCCAATTGCATTGTTAAATTTTTTATATTTTGATTGAAAATTTTTAATAAGGGGAATAATACCATTTTGGATATATATGAATTAAAAAAATTATTATTATTTAAAAATGAAAAAATAAAAAAATAAAAAATAAAAAATAGAGAAAAGGAAAGGTGAAGATTAAAGAAAGAAAAAAATGGTTAGATCTGCATAAAATTTGGGTTCTCTAGATATATTTATAAATATTTTTGGTGGTGATGGTGGTTAACGGCTACTTGTTGTAGAAAGGTATATAGGTATAGAATGATATAGAATGGTAGAATTCCGGGTGGATGGGTGTCCCCTTAATAAATCCTGAGACTCGGGGCTCGGGGCTCTCTGGATGGGACTGGGTGCTTAGCTCGGGTGCTCGGGTGAAACCCCAAGCGGATTCTAAGATACCCGGCGTGGATGGCGGCCATTCCATCCTTATACTCCCAGTTTCACAGTTCTCACTCCTTTTCTATATAAATATATAGTATGAACGGTGTTTGAGACTGGAGACTGGAAGTTCTTTGTCCCACGAGTTAAGGAAATGCCTTGTCGTAAAGGCGAGAATACCTGAGCAAGACCTGGACCAGCAACTCCCGTTGTTCACAAATTCTTCCCCACCCTCTTTATTCCCACTCTATTTTTAGTAATTTCTTTGCACTCTTCGTATCCTCCTCCTCCTTTTTTTTATTTTTTAACTTTTAAACATTTATTTATTTATTTATTTTTTTTACATCAAGAGCAAAGCAGTCGCGATGAAACGATCGGTTCGTTTTATATTAGGAACGGTTCAATGAACACGGCGCGTCAACGAATTACACGTTTCGCCGAGCAACAAGTGGTAAACCCGTTTCTTATTCGTGAGCCCCAGACTATTTTCAACTCAATATGGAAATTCGATAAAACGATAAAATTTATTTTATTTTAATAATAATAATAATAATAATAATAATAATAATAATAATAATAATAATAATTTATTCAATTGCAAGGGGTTTCATTAGTAGTTTTGATGTAAATCTGAGTCTATTACATAGAATAATAATACACAGCAATTCCCTTTGGTATTTACTGTATAAACTTGTCAGAGTTTATGGTATTAAACCGTATAACCCTTTATTGTTACAAAATTAGTGTTAATAATAATAATAATCGGGATGATAATAATAATTGATGGATTAGCTGTTGAGTGTAAACGATCAAAGGACTAAATAAGATAGATAAAGATAGATAAAGAACTAAATCAATATTAAATCCATCTGTTTTTAAAAAGGGGGATTTAAAGAGGATGTGTAGTCTTTTTTTGTAAAATAAAAAAAATTTCGATAAATATTATTTGACGTGTAAAATTTAATTATTTTGGTGTTATTTCTATTGGAGTAATGTTACATATACATGTATAAACTATTCGGTGACTTGGTGAGTTGGTGAGAATGAGAAGGTGAGAAAACCGGTTAGGTTCTGCTGTACTTGTATCCCTTAGTCGACGACCCGCGACCCGCGACCCGCAACCCAACAGACATAACTCGAGTTGGTTGTTCCCCTTCTACTTACTGTAAAATAAAAGCTACATCCTTATCCTTATCCTTATCCTGGACCGCCAGCTTATTTACCACCTCTTTGAGTCATTTTATTTTCATTTTTTTCAATCAGTAATTGTAAGAGTTGTAACAGCAAAAATTATTCCATGTGTACTCAACACTTACCACCTTCATTTATTTTCCTCTTTCATACTTTCTATATTAATTTTTATTTTTTTATTTATAAAATAAAATTAATATTATAATATCGTTGTAATGGAGAAAAAAAATTTTTATTTTGTTTCAGGTAAAAGAAAATAGGAAAAATAAAAGAAAACGGGGTCTGTACAATGTATAATAATATAATAAACTGAAGAAAATAAAGAAAGTAAATTGAAATAATAAAAAAAAAAAAAAAAAAAAAAAAAAAAAAAATCAAGATTTGGATGAAAACAACAAAAAACGAATATATCATAAGATAATAAGGAGTGCTCAGAATAAGGAACAGGAACAAGAAGATAATGATGGTACTAAGGGCATGTGATATGGTATTGTATCAGAAGAGATGGCAAAGTATAGAATGATAGGAGAATAGGAATATGATAGGATAAAATAGGAACACTACTCTTGATAGAATCGTACTACTTAAAGTTAAGTCTTAAAGTATCTTTCTTTGTGTATTGGCTGTAACAGGTTATATTACAGCTGACAAAAGTATCAACACTCGATGATTGTGTGTCTGTGTCTGTGTCAATATTTTTATTCACCTTGATATAATAATAATAATAATAATAATATCAATAATATCAATAAATCCTTCCTCCTTGGAGTACTGTTTACCATAGTTGAGTTGTATTCGAGTTAGTCGTATCGTAATCGGACATACGAACGACTATTGTATATAATATATATCTATACTGGTATGATATGGTATGGTGTAATGTGGTGGTATATTATGCTCATAAGCTGGTGAACGTGTGCTATTGCATGTCTAGTCAAAGTACTTGCTGCATAGCACGCCACCGAGACTCGACTCTCTCTCTGAATTACTGAGCTAAAGCTTGAGCGCTCGAAAATAAATAAAAATTTATATATAAAAATAATAAAAATAATAATAATAATAATAGTTATGTACAAGATCTTTAGCTTTGATAAAAGAGGGAACGGACAACCGAGATAAGTAAACGTGTGAATTTTGATTAGTCCTAATAAAATGGACTTTTTGCTTTGAATTGACAGAGTTTTAGATTTACTTGAACGAGTATATACATTTATACGTTACACGTTAATATTGTTTGTCTCACAATTAATCAATTAAATAAATAAATACTTTTAATAACTCCATTATTTTTAAATATTTAACTAAGAAAAAACAAGAATTTTATTTGCCGAATAATTATGGCCAATTATTATTATTGAATATATTAAATAAGTTAATTAATTAATTAATTATAATAATAATAATAATAACAACAACAACAACAACAATAATTTAATTGTATATGATTTTTCTCTGGGAAAAGAGTATTTAAATATATCGGGATACGTGCAAATGGCAACACTATAATATATAATTATATATATATATATATATATATATATATATATATATATAATAACGACACTTGTTCTTTATGGTTGTTTACTCTACTGATGTATTATATTTAATATTAAATTGGCAAACAACGAGCCTATAGATATTAATAAAATCAATTACATACGTCCATATTCTGATGCTAATAAATATATATAATATTTTATTGAACCTATTTAAAGTAAGCTTCACCAGTAAATATATAATATACCAAGTACATTGTCCCTGCATTATTATATAATACTAGATTCAGATATCAACATGCGGTTATTTATTTTTGACCTTATCTCTTTAATTTTATTCTCCATCAAACAATTAATACCTTAGATAATTTATTTATATATAAAATAAATGAAAATTTAGATAAAATAATTTCAAAGATAAATAACCAATTTTAAAAATTACCGAACAAAAAAAATGGAAAACAAAAACAAAAAAATGTATATTGTAATAAAAGATACTTAATAGCAGAGTAGTTCCCGCAATATTGCTTACTGATGACTGATGACAGTGTACTTAATCCATAATAATAACTTATGTGTCACCGTTTACCATGTACCCAT